GCACCTCAAGTTGTATGTATGTAATGTGTATACAAGCATTTAGTTCTTATCGATTTGTTCTTTCTTTTGAAACTCGACTATGTGATCTAACAATCTCGTGTAACATCGATTCAAAATTGACATATACTCTTTTTGTTATTGGTCTTGTAGTTTGATGGTAGAGATTTTGATCGACAAGAGGGTATTGATTTATGGGTATAAAAATGTGTCTGGTTGCTCGATATGCTTTGGGTTCAGGCATGGCATGGTTCAGTATGGGCGGTGTCACGGGCTGGTCGACCCGAGTTCCATCTACTTTGATGCAAATATAAGGAGTGGGCATTCCACACGATGTAGATGGTTGATGCCAATAGAAAAGGACCATTAACAAGAATCAACCAAGTGTGTGGCTAACTGTTCATAGCTAATCTTTGGTCTAAAATTCATGGGAAAAGTAGGGTTATAATTGAAAGGAGAAATCCAGAAAGTTTAGATATTGGCTCTACTTTTGAATAATCACTTTCTACCCACCATCTTTCATCATGAACACTAGACAAAAGCTAAAACATACAAAGTTCTCTGTAACTTCAATGAATTCGTCATGTTACGTGAGTTGGCCCGTGGCATCGCTCTCAAGCTTTCGGCTGTGGAATGACGAGTATGATGTCGCTATCGTACATTCATTCTTAAAATAACATTTACGCTTCGTGAAAGTTACGATTGTTTGTCTTGGAAGGGTTGAGGTCGACGTTTGTGAAAGGTGCTGTCTAGATGACTATCAGCATCCACATGTTTGTCTTCAAAAATTTAAGCCATTCATGTAAAAGATTTTAGTTAACCCTCAAATACTGGATAGAGACTAGGATTTGAAGCTAAGGTTCATTGTAGCGAGCTTTATTTATCACCTTAAAATTGCAATTTCTAAAAAATTCGTTCAAATTAAGCCCATGTTTGACAATCATTATTTTCAAACTTTTTTTTATGTACTCATTTTCAATCATATATTCACATAATAAAATATTCTATATATAAACCCAAAATTTTTTCCTACTTTTTAACCTCACGTTCTCCTAAAAATCACTATTCAAAACATTATGTTTTGAAAATAATGGCCACCAAATAGGGACTAAAAAGGCAATGACACCATAGGAAGGGAAAATTAGGCCCCGTTTGATCAGAAGAATTTTTCATGGAAATTGGAAATTATTTTCCATTTTCCACCTTTTAGACTGTTAGACAGGAAAATTTTTTTAGGCAATTAGTTTTCCAACTTATACCTCACGTAACCCAATTTTCCACATTTTCCTTGAAATGGCTTTCTCATGGGTTTGGTGGTTTTTGTTTTTCTAGGAATTTTTTTTTTGGAAACAAATTATATCATTTTAATGAACAATTTTCATAGAAAACAAAATCAAACGAAAGTCAAAAGATCCAAAATTTCAATATTTTTCAGGTGAAAAATTATACCAATCAAATATAATCAATTGACAATTTCTAGGCAATTCAATTATCTGGAATTCATCTTCTTTCCACTCAAATTCCATTCTTGCAATCAAACGGACTCTTATTGTTTTATAATATATATCAACTAGTAAGGATAACATATTTTCTGTTACTAGCTAATACTAGGGTTGAGGTATAACACCATATCTTATACACGAACTAAGAGTGTGAAATAGATTCCCCTAACACTAGGTCCGACTAACTTTTCATGTTCACACCTTTTTCTTTCTCAGAATTTGTCGTAAGCTGCTATTGTTACATAAGAAAAAGTTCAGTTCAGTTCAGTTCTCATCTTCCCTTGCCAAAGGAACGAAGGCTAGCTTACTGCCCTCTTTCAGTTAAAGAATGAAAAGGCATCATCACCCCCACTTGGTTTTCATGCCTAACCTCTTGTTATTTATATCCTGGTTTCTAACAGTCTACTTCGCTAGCTTCGGTCCCCTACAATCTTTATAGCATACAGAAACAAAATCCAGAGGCAATGCAGCAAAAGCCAGACCCCAAGAAAGGGCAAAACCCAACAGGAATATTTTATAGCCACGATCTTGATAAAGATAAAGCTTGCTGTGTACCCCGGCAAAGGACACAGGCCGGGGCTACCCGCCTACCCCTTACCTTATATGCTGAAAACCGCTACAAAAATTGTAGGATGCTGACTACACAACGTGGCCCCCCTGAAATTCCTTCCATTCTATTGGATAATTTTTATGAATTCTATCATTTCACATATTCATACTAAATAACGAGCTAATTAATTGAATTCCTATTCCAATTGAAATGCTAAAATTCTTAGTACACGAAAAAAACCAGAATGGAAAGGAAAATTTAGCGTAGTTTCACAACAAAGATGAAAAGCAGCAAAAATTGAACAAGGGAATCATTCAATGCCATAAAGAAAAAAATAAAAAAATACAAACAAACAATTCACATGTTGATTGAGGGAAATCACAACTCAATTCGTCTAGATGCCAAAAGACTTTGTACATAAGCTTGCAATCTTGCCATACGTTTAAACTATCAAGCGAAAGCCCTTCCACACGGGTATGCCAAATTACTATAGCCAACTTTTGTCAACTTTTGTCTTAGTATACAATCATGGAGTCTTGTACCATTATGCTCACGAGTATATGTTATCCAAGCCTAATGTTCACTTCATAGTACTTATATAAAAACCAAAAAAAACTTATATCTACCCTCGTAATAAATAAGGATTAAAACTTTAAGATGATGATTGATTCCTTTGCCTACGCATTCGTGCTGCCCACGAAATGTTATCACCGGAGTTCTTATACGTACTTCTTCTCTTCAGCTCTGATACTTGAGATTGCCAACGACTCTTCCATTCACTTTTCTCTTCCATTTGCTGCTTGCATAAAAGAAGAGCCATAAGATACATGATAATAATAATCCAAAGCCCGACAGCAACCTCATAATCAAAATTAACATATAGACATCTAAGCCAACAAACACACAATAAACACGATACACAAAGTCGAAATACGAAATTGTTAGCATTCACTTATCTTACGAAAACAGTCCAGCCTAATCATGTCCACTTTTCTACATCGATAGACAATCTAATCACAAAGTAGTTTTACCATCAGAAGAAAAACGAAAAAAGAATATGGAAACACAAAAGTCATCTTAGTCATATAACTACAGTGATTCCTTTGACATTTTACTAAAGCAAATGTTTATAGTCAGCGTTGACAGGTTGGCGATAAACAGACAACTGTAATGTTCTTCTGGTTACACTTTTTCCATGGATTTATCCTTGAGAATCCAGTGTGTTGTCCAGCTTGAATTCGAATTCACAAGAGATGAAAAATCTAAACTTGGGAGAGCTGAGCTCCATTGGAGTGTGACCATGTTAGTTCCAACAGGCTATTCGCCTCTAGGATTGCGTTTAACCTTCCAAAGAATTCTATAGATTGCTCTAAACACAAATTTCCACTCAATTCATTAATAAATGAACTTTTACAAATATCCATTTCAGTACCTGCCTAAATTTTTTAGTCCTTGATTATTTGATATTTTCTAAATCCTCCTTCTGGATTTAAATTACTTGGGAATATTTTCAGAACAAAATTGACTAAATCCAGTGTATTCTAATACTCAACTTTCATTCACCAGCAAAACCAAAAAATTATGCCTAGCCTCCTCGCACGTTGTTTAATCTCCCCCAATTTTATCATAAAAAGATCAATAACTTACAAATTTCATATACATCCCTTGATGTTCGATTCCACTTCAAATGAATGATAAAATTATTCGAGCATAAAATCAAAATCTCCCTTGATTACTACCACCCAGGCCAATCAATATGGCTAATTGGAAAAAGGAAAATCGAAAGGCTTACCTCGTCGAATCTGTAATGGCCACGGGCAGAAAACGCGAGGTGAAGGCCCTTAGCCATGTCGCGATCATACAAAGCTCTCCTCCTTGGATCCGACAGCGTTTCATAGGCCTCCTGGACCAGAATAAACCTCTCAGTATACTCCTGGACACTATCAGGAGGCGACACATCAGGGTGGTACTTCCGTGCCTGCTGTTTGTAAGCTTGTTTGATCTCCAGTTGGGTCCCAGATTCGGGTATGCCCAGAAGATCGTAGAAGCTGACGGGGCTGTCAGAAGACAGTGAAATGGTATCATTGTAGTTGGATTTCAGTGGTCTGAAGGCGGGTCCGGGTCTGGGTCGGAAGGAGATTGAAGAGGGAAGTGGGTCGGATCGGATTGGAGGAATGAAGAAGGAGAAGCGAAAAGGGTCGCTTCTGGGGAATGTTACGCGATGGTTGCAGCACATTCTTCTCTCTATTTTTTGTTATTTTTAGGTCAACTTTCGTTGCCGGGGTACATGAATACATATAGAGGCAGCAGGGTGGCTGGAGTGGAGATTTTTTATTTTTTATTTTTAAAGTTTATTTGGAGCAATAGACAGTGGGGACTCCCAACTTGGTACATATTATATTTGCTTGAAATTTTAAATAACGCAATTTGCTTACCGGGCACACAAAGGAACAAGATAACAAAGGGAAATGAATTCTTAGTTTTGAAATTTTAGACAATATGGCCTATTACGTAGCGTGGAGGGTTGTGGACTACTTGGATAACGATATAATCATCTGATTTAATAAATATTGTTACGTATTGAATAATCATTATTTACGAGCGCACCAGGTCAGTTCTAAAAGGCTATATTATGGCTTCACATCAGGCTTAAAAAAGCATCATTATATGCCAACGTATCCACTAACATTTGCATCAAGGTCGTCGAAATCCAATTAATACATAAAACATCTCAGCCGTAGAAGACACCATATAGAAAAACACGTCCGAACCTAACATTTGGATAAGAGGACAATTGAAATCTTCTCCCAAATGAAAAAGTCAACTGTCTCAACTCGATCTCGAACATAAACACCATTTGAATGCACATTTTGATACAATAAAATAAGCCTCATTTTCCATGCAAACTTTACTTGTACGTAACCAAATGTATTACAAGTAGCACAAAACTCAACCGAAGTATGATAACTTGCACTTCATCATGACTTCTAGCATAGAACCCGTTTGTTTCCCATTATTTGTCAACAAGAATTAATTTTGTGAACGACTTTTTTCCAACACACTGATCCCATTGTGAGATAGAAAGTCATAAAAAAGGGCTGCCACATTTGCAATGATTGGAAAATGTATTAAAATTAGGTAAAATAATGGGAAACAAACGGTGGCATGATAATGAATATGTCAACTAAAAATAATGATCAAAAAAATCCTAAAAAGTCCATAAAAAAGGCCATTAACACAACGAAAAAGTGTTAAAAATTGAAAGGGTTCTAAAAATATGAAGAAGAAAAATCTTAAGAGATTCAATTTTCAACTTTCCAAAAAAAAAAAACCCACTTCGAATCAAGGCAAAAATTAGGGTAATCTTGAAAATCTTAGCATTATTCTCAAATCGAAGTACTAATTTTGACAAGGAATCTATCGAAAAACATCTTCTTTCTCCCTTTAAACAAAAGGTTCACCCAAATATCCCAATAGGGGGACAAAATCTTGTCAAAATTCTAGCAGGAATCTCAACTACTAGCATTAAAAAAAAAATCATGCATCTTTTGTGGGGTCAACTATTACTATATTGAGATCAGGGTGTTGAGCAAACTCAAGACTCTTGAGCATACCAATATATACATCAAAATTGATTTAAGAATGCTGCCACCACTTTACATGCATGGTCCTAGTGTCTTACATGAGATTTTCAAAGTGAAATTTAGAATTTGGGTCCCAAATTGTAGCATGCATTCAATTTTTATGGAATAAAAGTCATGAAATAATTATTCAAAATTGCAAACCGAACGAGTTTTCTAATTTTCTATTTTGAAAAATAATTTTTCAAAATAATAAATCAAATGCATTTTTAGTAATCTTAAGACAGACTTTCAAAACAAAAAATTATAAATGAACTTAAAATTAAAAACTAAAAGACAAACTAAACAGACTGTTAATGTACAATGTAGTTGTTCAACGATTTTTCAATTCATTCAATCTTTCACGTGACAAGTTGGTTGGGTATAATTCTTGATCAACTTCAACTTGAAAAAAAAGTTTTTTCTACATGTGCAACTGCAAGCGGTGTATTAACAATTTTTTTTGTAAGCAATATTAAATTTGTAAGCAATATAAGAATTTAGGAAACAGCTATTTGTTTTCTTCAAATAATGTAGCGCATCAATTCTTTTTTTCTTCTTGATAATAGCAACTCAAGACTTTCAACTCCAAACAAAAATCATAGTTTTCAATGCACATAAATATGAAAGTAAAGCAAATAGATTTTTGCACATTTTGCAAACAAATTGTTATTAGGTGCAAATTCATCTTTTTCGAATATTTTTCACATATTTCTTCATAAAATGGCCACGCATTAATCTAATTAACAAGATTTGCGTGATAATTTTTTTTTTTTTTTTAATTTCTAGTTTTGAAATGAAAAATAAAAGGTTTTTATTTCTAGATTTTGCATACGGATTCATACCTTCATCTTTTTAACCATACATCCTTAAAAAAATTACTTGTTACAAAATTGAAAATTATATATAAAATAATCAAAATCAAACAAGGACTAAGTTTTTAATATCGTTTTAGATACATTTTCAATTGTAAAATATAAAATTAACAGAATAAAATAAAACTTAATAGTCCGAGCGAGGACCATATCCCATGTTCCCAACCATGTTCTTGTTACTAAATCGGATGAAACTCCTCGCCTCATAAGCGGCGTCGTAAGGCAAGGCACTATCAAATAATTTTATCATCTCTATGAATAAATAAAATTTTATTTCAACTTCATTGGATGATATGTTAGTGATCCTATTGACATATGGGATGTAGGGATGGCAATGGGGTGAGATGAGGGCCTTTCTACCCCTCGTCCCACTAAGAAATTCAGTGCCCCATTACCTGTTTAAGGTGGGGTGGGGAGTTCGTTACCCGTCCCCGGCCCGAATACTCGATTAAGCGAGTTATCCCCTCCTTGTTCGGAGCGAGGTCCCGCAAATATCGAGTTTGTCAGATCTTTTTGCCATCCCTAATGGGATAATAATTCACCACTTCTACACTTTATTTGAATATATTACTTAATGTGACTGAATTGCTATATAGATCAATCATTAACACAAATCATCATTATTTTAGGTAGCTTACTACCATGGTCGTTCATATTTTCGGTTTCCAATCCTTTGTTGTTTACTTGTTAATGAATAATGTTATCTATCACCACTCGTACTATAATATCAGTTTAGGTAACACTATGTAATATGCTCAGTTAAAGATAAAATCACGCAATTGATTTAATTGTACATTTTATTTAATGTCTCTTAATGTTATCTAAATTGGTGTTATAACAATAATAATACTAAGGCCCTGTTTGGGAGAAATTTTAATCAAAAATCTAGTCGCTAACTATCAAATCAACCATCATTTTTGACCTTCCCTCTCACAGGTGGAGCTCATGAGCTGACTTTAACTGCTATAATTTTGATTAAAATCCCACAAAAATTTCTCCCAAACACACTCTAAATAGTATTACCTTTTTTTTTTTTGAAGTGTTACATATACATAAATCTATACATAATGGTATTCATAATTACATGTGGCACTGGATCCAACAATTAATTCAAATCTGACACTTTCACATCAACAACGGGATTTTGTCCACATTACATTATGGACACTATTATGTTTTCCTTTTTTTTTTTAATAGTTGATTAAGATTGTCTTCTAAGGAACTCCAGAAGAACCATATGCAGACAATAACTTTTGCAACTCTACCAATTCTTGAAAGACATTGATATTATTAAAGGCTGATTAAATATTTTGATGATTCTGACAGGCTCCATGCTTTATAATAGAATTATCCTTTTATTTTAATAAATCATCATTGGCATAGGAGA